GTTATTTCATTCATAATGGCTGAATTGTGGATGCTTCCCTGAACAAGAGGTTTAACCTAATAAAAGGGGTTATTTCATTCATAATGGCTGAATTGTGGATGCTTCTCTGAACAAGAGGTTTAACCTAATAAAAGGGGTTATTTCATTCATAATGGCTGAATTGTGGATGCTTCCCTGAACAAGAGGTTTAACCTAATAAAAGGGGTTATTTCATTCATAATGGCTGAATTGTGGATGCTTCCCTGAACAAGAGGTTTAACCTAATAAAAGGGGTTATTTCATTCATAATGGCTGAATTGTGGATGCTTCCCCTGAACAAGAGGTTTAACCTAATAAAAGGGGTTATTTCATTCATAATGGCTGAATTGTGGATGCTTCCCTGAACAAGAGGTTTAACCTAATAAAAAGGGGTTATTTCAAAGGGGTTATAATGGCTGAATTGTGGATGCTTCCCTGAACAAGAGGTTTAACCTAATAAAAGGGGTTATTTCATTCATAATGGCTGAATTGTGGATGCTTCCCTGAACAAGAGGTTTAGGTTTAATAAAAGGGGTTATTTCATTCATAATGGCTGAATTGTGGATGCTTCCCTGAACAAGAGGTTTAACCTAATAAAAGGGTTATTTCATTCATAATGGCTGAATTGTGGATGCTTCCCTGAACAAGAGGTTTAACCTAATAAAAGGGGTTATTTCATTCATAATGGCTGAATTGTGGATGCTTCTCTGAACAAGAGGTTTAACCTAATAAAAGGGGTTATTTCATTCATAATGGCTGAATTGTGAATGATTCCATTAACATTAAAATCTTAACCACTTAAGTCAAATGTCAATTGCTATCTATTCTCTTTATTTTCCTAATCTTAATTCCCTACCACCACTTTTTTTTTCATCTCACACACTTCATCCAACATAAACTTGATAGTAACCTACCTTGAGTGGTTCTTGAGCCTTGTATTGGATAAATAGTATTAAGAAGAAAATGCTACTCTGGAGACAAATCTTTTTATTTTTTAGAAAAGTCTTATGCATTTATTTTTCAGGTGAATCAACTTATAGATTTTATCATTCATAAATAGTTGACATGAAATAAATGAAAATTCCCATATATTCAACAAAAATGAATGCATAGCTTGTTTTCTTTAACAAAAATAATTACGTAGATGTTTTTTGTGTGTTTTAAAAATTTAAGTAAATAAAAATAAGCAGCAGCTACTGATTTTTAAAAAATCAAATTCAAAATTAACATATATAAAATTGCAATAACCAATCCTAAAACTGGGATATAAAATTTAAAAAGAAAATTCTCAATTACAGTTGCAATACCTCTGAAGTTTTTGGTAACCCCTTAAATTGTGACCCTTCCTCACTTTAGGGAAGTCTACTCTAAATGATTATGTATGTATGTATGTGTTAATTTTCCTGTAATGAATGATAATTAGTTATGAATGGGAGTTTGAATGATTGATTAATTGATTTTGTTTACCAGCATATCAACACCTCTATGGGTTATTTAATGCCAAAATCTGAATATTTTGTACATAATTTTATGCCTTCAACTGCAGATATTTTGTACATAATTTCATACTTTCAGACTAAATGTATATTTTTGTTATATATATATAGTATGTAGATGATAAAATGTATTGTTGGTAATTGTATTATAAAAATGTACTTATTTACACTATTTACATCATTTGGTCTGTTGTCCTCATCTTTACTGTCATATCCACAACATTTTGGCTGTTGTATGCTCTGACCTTCTTCAGGTGACATATGTTGGAATTTTGAACTGAACCCTTTATTTAGCCCATGGGGGTAGATTGTTCAAGTTCCACTGAAGAAAGCCAAATCTTAAAACAGCTGAAATGTAGTGAATATGACAGTAAAGATGATGCCAACAGTCCAAACGATATAAATAGTGTAAATAGTTATAATACCTCATCTGATAAATATAGACAGGTATTAAAAATGTACTGCTGATAATTGTATCATAAAAATGTACTGTTGATTTTTGTTTGGAGATTCACTCTTTTCCCATAGCTAAGACCCTAACAGGATCTGGATGGACCTGGAACAACATCAGTTAAGAGGGTGTTTTATGTTCCTCCAATCTTACAATCAGAGGCCTTGAATGCCAGATCCAGTTTATCATTATATCCAGGGTGGAAGAGTTTGAATGAAATTCTAAATATAGATGAAAGTCAGTAAAGTAGGTACAATTTTAATGGTTGCCATATTGTTGTAGTGAATGAGATAATCAAGTACCCCGGAAAAAAGTTCGTGTTTTGTGTGCGATCTGCCGGGGAGGGATTGCCAAAAAGTAGTCAGCAAAACTCTTATAGCGACTTACCTCGTCAACCCAAGCGACAGCGCGTCGCGTGTATTCTGTGACGAAAAAGAAACAAGTCCGTCGCAGGAGTCGCTATAAGAGTATATTAATATGCAAATTACGGAGCATCCTATCCCGGCTGTCGATGAATGGAAAAAAAAGTGGTTCTGCCGATAAAAGCAGTTGGTGTTGTCGACTCGGGGAAGGAAAATTCGGGCAGTTTTGGCTACGGCGTGTGTGAGTTATTTTCCTGACGCGTTACAAGTGATTTTCTTTCTTTGTGTTGTGAAAGCCACAAATTTGCTTTGAGAATGCTTACTCTTCAATTGTCTCAATGATTTGCATTAAAAATAGTAGGGATAAGTGAACAGCTAATGAGTATGTCTTGAAACATCAAGTCTATGACCAATGCATTCTGCCAACAGTCACCTGCAGAGTGACCAAACTTGATTACACAGCAAAATCTAAATCTTAGAAAGAATCATGCTAAATATCACATGGCGAGATTGCAAAACAGTTGAATGGATCTACAAAAAAATCAAAAAACACAAAGAATTGAAAGGAGTATTAACTGATATGAAATAAAATCCCCTAATCATGGAAAACAGAATAACAACAGTGTAATCTCATGAACTGAATAAAGGATTTGTGATCCTTTTTTTTTTTCATCTTACTAATCCCCATTCCCTTCATATGTCATTAGTAAGGAGGAAGTTCCATTCATACTGCTTCTTCCTGAGAATTGCTGCTTTATGGAACAAACACTCGGCAAGATGTTTTCCCAATCGCTACAATATGAGACCTTTTCAAATCTAGGGTTAACTGTTATCTTTCCTGCATGCCTCGTTAAACTTCACTTCTTGTCTTTTCTTACATTCATACAACACTACACACTGACCCTCTACCTTGAGTGGCTCTTGGGTTTTGTATTGGGTGAACATTAGTATAAAGAAAAGAAGACTTTTTCTGTATTATTTCTTTAATATGAATATGTGATTATTAATTGATGCTTCCAAAATAGTCATAAATTAGCAAAAATTTAATCAGCCACACTGGACATATATTTAATGATTTAAAATTATTGTAAACACTTAATGAGTTATTTCTAATTAATTGATTGGATTCACTTTTTCATTTATTATTTAATTTCTTTAATTATTTCCTTATTGATCAATGTTGGTGGCCATTGGTTGGCAGTGATGTCATTGAAGCATATAAAATACATAACCACCAATCAAACTGCCTAATGGAAATTGAAGATGTATGAAGTGTAATCTAATTATGGGGTGGTGGATCAGGGTCTGTCAACACTGATTGGGTCAAGTGGGGAAGGGGGTCTGATGGTGAAAGTTTTGAAACTCCTGATGATCCTGGTTCAAGAATTTGAAAAGTGTATTTTGAAAACTTACCTATTCATTCAATCCTATTTAAATTCTTTATTTATTAAACAAATATCTCAAAAATCTCATTCATTCCAATGATTATATATATATATATATATATATATATATATATAGTTTTCGTAATCATTTCACTCTAAGCAGGGCAGTAAAGCCATTAAGACACAAGGGGGGAATGAACGTGAAATAATTAAAAAATAGAAACATTGTTAAGGAGCAAGAACAATAGAAGAGTGATCAAGAAGACAGTAGATAACAATTGACATTGCATTTAAATTTTTGAAGATCAAAGCTGGAAGAGAGTTCTACAAGCAAGAAATGTAGGAAAAGAAACTGTTATCATAGAACTTATGGCTACATCAAGCCAATTCAACTGTAAATTGGCGAGACCTTGTTGTTAATCTAGTACTGCACTTAAATTGATAAATTTTAGGTACCATAGAGGAAAATGATATTTATTTAGAAAATACAAAAATGTGGCACAAGGCAAAAATAGGGGGAATAGGGGAAAGCTGGTCTTCAGTCTGTCTTATCTTAAACTTAGCTAGCCACAATTACTGACCTAAACATACCACGGTATTCCTTACATCAAAACAACACATTCTTACTATAGCCACCATAATACCTCAAAGTCTCCATGAAGTCCTAACTAGTTTCCATATGTACTATTTGACTGGTGGTGGGAGGATAAAAATAACTTTTAAAAATGAAACCCCAAAGAGAAAAGTTTTTCAGAACAATTACCATGAAAATATTTATAGAAAAAGACAGGGAAGCTATGTTATGGTGGTGGGAAAGCGACTGAAGCCAAGATATCAGGTCAGAGACAATAATCTACGTGTACATCACAATTTGCAATAAATAAGATTGTGTTTTATATTTTACATGATTTTCCTTTCTCTATGAATCTGTTTTTTATGACTACTGAGATTAATTTGAGCAGCTAACAATAACATCAGTCATTATTCCCATCTTGCCTGAATATGAGTCTTTATTTAAATGTTGTTTAGGGATTTGCCTTTAAAAATAATATAAGAATAATACCTTCACAAAAGCCAGGGGAAACAACAGCTGAAACACTGTGATAATAACAATAAAGATGAGGATATTAATCTACATGTAGATAATGTAAATAAGATGATGTTTTACATAATAGTTCATTATTTCCTTGATTCATTTCATAATGATCTATTAGTTTGTTAATGGCATTATCTTTTGTCTGTTATTAATTAATTAAATCCATTTTAAATGTTAATGTTTTCATTTCAGCAACAACATTGATTGCTTTTCACAAGTCCCATATTTGGCCTTCTGTACGAAACTAACCACTTTGACTCTGGAAGGAAATCCAGTTTGTGTAAAACCATCACCAGAATCTGAAATTGTAAATCACTTATTCTTACCATTGACTCTTTGTTTTTTTTAATATATATATATATATATATATATATATATATATATATATATATATATTCTTAAGGTGTGCTATATTTATGGGATAAAGTGCTCAATATCAGATAGAGTGTATGTAAATATAAAAGTGAATATTGAAGTCAACACTTAGAAGCGACAGGCTGTTTCATGCTAGATGCAATCGTCAGGCCACGAGTGCTGTTTTTTTTTTCTCAGCTATTTATATACGGGTCAGTGGTGCATTGTGGGTAATCTATTTTGGCGGTTATTTTGCCAGAAGTCATTTATTTGTTTATTTATTTATTTGGGTTAGATTATTTTGCTTGTTTTTATTTATTTTTATGTTTTATTTATATTTTTATTTTATTTTTTTATTTTATTTATTTCTTATCTTATGTATTTATTTATTTTTATTTTAATCAGTGTTTTATTAATGTAGTAAAAATTTGTTTGTATTGCTTATTTAATAATAACCACAGGCTTTCCAACAATTCCTCCAATGAATCTATATTTAACAAAACTAAGAAAGACTACAAAACAGCCCTAAAAGATAGTGGATTCCCAGCAACACTCACATACTCACCACAGAACACAAAAAGGCCAACAGGAAAAGAAATATCATATGGTTCAACCCACTGTACAGCAAAAATGTAAAAATAAACATAGGAAAAATATTCTTCAAACTCTTACACAAACACTTCCTGGAATCAAGCATCCTATACAAAATATTCAACAAAAACAGTAAAAACAGTCATGGTAGTCAGACAATTTCTGTGAGCACATCACCCCTTACATCTGGCCACCTAACTCCCAAGCTGCAACATCTTTGATTACTATGTGTTGGTCTCTCGCCCAACAAAATTCCTTATAACACAAAGATGAACTGAAGGCAAGGATTATGGCACCATGCACCAACTTAAACAAGGAAACCATCCAGAAGAGATGCAGGAGATTCTGAAGTCATCTGGAAGCCATAGTTGAAGCCAATGGCAATTTTATTGAATAAATCAACTCTTTAGCATTTCAAGATACTTTTGTGTCATTTTGGTAAATATATCTGTTAAAATGAGATGTCAGTGTTATTTTCATTTTTGTGTAATTTAGACGACAATTTATCCAACGTACCCTATATATTGTTTATAGATATTATTATATTACACATATAATGTCTGTGTATAATATATATTATTGACATATCATGTAGACCTCTCAACCACTTAATTTAATTTTGCTGATTTCTTTAAATCGAATAAGATTATAAAGGAAATACTTAAGAATTGAAATAAATCCTGCTAAGATATAATCTTTTCCTTAATATTGATTGACTAACTGCTACTAATTATTTCTAGAAGCAGGGGAGATTTTGGTGAACATTCCTTCTCTCCATCCCTTGCCTATCGTCAAAAATGGACTGTGCCTGCTTATAAATGGTTCTGTTTGCAGTAACTGTTCCATTGTGCTGAATAAAACCTAATTTGTGTTACTTTGCTCTGTGTCTTTTATTACACTTTTCTACACACATATTCTGAGGACTTTCACACACACACACACACACACACACACACACACACACATATATATATATATATATATATATATATATATATATATATATATAAATAAATAAATATATAATGTGTATTTTGACATCAACCTTTCTTTCAAACATGTTTTATTGAATATGATAGACAAGGAAAATTTAATGAATTTTTTATTTAGTTTTTCCAATACACATGCGCACACACACACACACACACATATATATTACGTGGGTAACTTAAAAATGATCTCCCTCTCACATAAAAATATGTAATGGCCAGTAGGGCAGGTAATTTTTGACTTAACCTCATAATATATATTATATAGGGTATATATTTGTAATATATAGTATTTATATATAGTATCATATATTATATAAATATATATTATATTTATTTTCTACAGCTTATTAACCCTTTGCAGGTTATTGAATTGCAGAAAATATTTTTAAATTGTAAGAATTTTTTTTAAGATAATAATGATTTAGTCTTACTAATTAACCCATAACTTGGAGGAGAAGAGGTGGATTCATACCTTTCTCAAAGTTATTTGTGTATAAGTGAATATAATGAACCCAACTTGAATTGGAACTCAGCTCTCCTGTTAACAATTCTGAGTCATTATCCATTACACCACCTGGACATTCAACCTTATAGCACCTGGAATTCCCAAAGGGTCACCTATCTAGGTACTGACCAGGCTTGACGTTGCTTTATGTCAGTGATCATACTAAACCACTGTTTCAACATTTCAGACCCTTTTCCTTCAATTACCAAAATTTTTTCGAAAGGGCTGTTTGGTGTTTTAATTTTGGATTGGCGAATGAACGCCTATGTGTATTGATTCTCTTTTTAAATTCTCCCGCAGAAATGCCAATGTAAATATTATGATTTGTCATATTTACTTTAGGGTAATGGTTGCCTGGTATGCTACCCTAGTGGATCTGCACTTGCCTTTTATGGGCAGTTTTTCTTAATTCTACAATTACAGGGGGTTTCCATGTTAGATTTAATTTTTTTTCCCATGGAATTTACTTAAAAATGTAATTTTTTCCCAATGATTTTACTTAACATGTAATTGTTATGGGAGTTAATAATTTGGTACATATTATATATACATGAGAGTCTGTACCCTCAAATAAATTGGAAAATTCTAGGTTTTGTGAACACCCCCAATAGTTTTAGGGGTAGGTGCAAGCTATGTTTAGAAGAAAAATCAGGATAATAAAATATAAAGATCAATGCAAACTTTAAATCAGTGGAGAGAACTAATTACAAAATGTAGACATACAAATAAATTCCAAATTAAATAATATAGGTGCATATATGTGGGGGTGTATGTGTATGTATAGTGGCATATATGTATGAATATGTAAATGTACACATATATGTATGTATGAAGATATATATGCATAAGTGTGTTGGACAGCATGTGTTATTTCATTGGGTGCTCTGGTATTACCCTACCCACAATCTATAAATCTATAATTCAACTAATTTACATTAATCTTAAGCTTAAATCCCTCATTGCTTAGTAGTACAAAATCTATTTACTGTGAATCCCAGAAAAACAGATTTCGGGGCCTTTATAAGAAACACTACATAGTAGGAACTGATATTAAATGACAAACAAGAATCCTGGCCATAAATAAACACCAAACACAGACCGCTTCCCCTGGGATAAGATACCTTATGCTCCCACCAATCACTAACACAAACCTGCTCTCATTAACAAGGTGCCTACTAGAGGAGGACTGACTTTGAAAATAAATTTAGAACAATGCTCTGGTCAAGCACTTAGAGGCTCATAATAGACATATGAAGAAATGTTTGAAATAGACTCTACCTATGTTGAGGTAATTTTTGTTTTTCTGCTGTAATATATATATATATATATATATATATATATACATACATATATATATATATATACATACATATATAAATGGAAAATAATTAAAAATTAGAATTCACAGTACCTCTTGATCATGCTTATGTGAAATCACACTAACATAAACAAACTCACTCCGATGAAGTTCTAAATGATGAAATACGTCAGATGAAAACTTTTTCCACTTTGTCACACATTTTCCATATATATATATATATATATATATATATATATATATATATAGTGCTAAGTTAACTGATAAATGTATAGTTTCTAAAATTTGTTTTTTCTTTTCTCCACTGTAAATGTAGGAAGAATACAATTACCGCATGTCTGTTCGTGATGCAATACCTCAGCTACAGTACCTTGATGATGAGCCATTATCAGATGTGGACTGCAAGAAAAATGTGAATGTGTTTAATGATGATTGGGCCTACATGGAAAAGTTGCAGCAGGATGTTGTGATACAAGAAATTATGATGACCAACAATGAAGGGGAAAGTGCCAGTGAGTTGCTATTTTATATTAACCTCTCATGTAATGGAAAGTGACCATCTTGCTTCTCATTCAGCTCTCTTTTGAATGACTTGACGTGGAACAATTACATTGAATCAATAGCATCATTTTCTATAAGGAATGTTAGCTTACTGTGTTGGGCCAGAAGGTTTTACTCGTCAGGGTCCAGCTTACATATCTACAAATCTACCATTCGTCCATGCTTTGAGTACTGTTGCCATATTTGATCTGGTGCACCAGCTGTTCATCTTGAAGTACTCAACAAAGTCCCAAGAAAGATCTGCAATGTAATCGGTCCTTACTTGGCATCTCGACTCCTGTCACTTTCTTAGAGATGTGATATGGCTTCACTCTGTCTTTTCTACAAATATTTTCATTGCAACTGTTCTGTCTAGCTTTTTTTCCCTAACTACATAAATTTAAGCATACTACTAGACTAGCATCGAGGTCCCTCCCTTTTACTGTTGAAATAGTTAAATATAACCATCACTTCTACTCCAACATTTTCTTTTCTTGTACTTCCCACCTGTAGAACTCCCTTCTGTTTAATTGCTTCTCTGATAACTACAATCTTCAAAAATTTAAATGTAATGTCAATCACCATCTTCTGATATTTTGAACCTCATTCATCTTTCATCCTTTCTTCATTCCCCCCCCCCATACACAGTTTTTTTCTCTCGCCTTCACTCTATGTAAACCCCTGTGAACCAATGGCACTCCCACCTTGCTTGGGGTGAAAAAAGCAAAAAAAATACAGGGTGTACCCCCAAAATATACTAACTATTTAAATGACAATAAATGCAGTGTTTATCATCGTGCAAACCATATTCTTCTTCTTCTTTTATGTGCCATGTCCTTTCAGGATGTTGGTGATCATGACTCTCCACAATTTCTGGTCCTTTGTAGCTTTTAATAGATTTTGTATTTTTGCCATCTCTCTGAAACCCTAACCTCACCATTCATTCAGTAAAACACACCAGGTAGGTTGTGCGTTGCTTTCCTCTGTCTCTCTTATCTGTTCTGTGAATATCAAATTTTCCAAGCCTTCTTTCCTGATTATGTACCCCAGAAGTTTCAACTGTCTCTTCCTGATGTTAAGTACAAGTGACATTTCTGTTGCCATTATCTTTAGAACTTCATTGTTGATTACATGTTCAGTTTATGGTATTCTCAGCATCCTTCTGTAGAACCACATTTCTGTTTCTTCTTCATCTGTGAGGAGAATGTTCAGCATTCACTGCCATATAATAGCACTGATACTAAATAACAGTTCAGTACTCTTTTCTTTGTTTCTAACAATATTTTTCTGTTTTTTAATACTTTAATTAACTTTTGGGAGGCATCTTTTGCTATTGCAATGCACCTTTGGATTTCAGTGTCACACTTTCCATCCTATGTTAATATGATTCACAGTAATCTACATTGTTGCACCTGTTTTATTTCATTATCTCCAACTGATAACTTGCGTGTTAGGCTCTTCATTTTGTTAATAACAATGCATTCAGTCTTCTTTCAATGAACTTTCCTCTATGGTATTTAAACTTTATGAATTTAAGTGCAGTATTAGATTAGTGGCATAGGCTCATCATTTTACAGTTGAAATGGCTGCTAGACGTAACCATAAGTTCTATGCTAACAGTTTCTTCTCTTGCACTTCTCACTTGTGGAAATCTCTTCTGGCTTCTAGCTTCCCAGTCAACTCTGATCTTCAAAAATTTAAATGCAATGTCAATTGTTATCTTCTGTCTTCTTAATTCTTGTTCTTTTATTATTCTCTCTCCTTAATGTTTTTATTTTTCTCATATTCTCTCACATTCAGTAACCACTTGAATCTTAGTGGCTTTATTGCCTTGCTTGGCATGAAATGATTAATAAACTTAAAAATAAAACAACCAAATATATTGGAAACACAATTCATGTCTTCATTTCTCACTATGGCATTAATTACCACCTTTTGTTTATTTGTGAATGTAAGGTAGACCTTTTCCTGTTTTTGTGCATTCTGTCATGAATAAGAATTGAGACTCAATGTTGGGTGTGATTTGTCCAGTCAGTGAAAAGCTAAGAGATGGGGTGACATTCTTAAATGTTTTTCCTTTAAGAATTCATTTTTAAATAACAAATTCATCCTTACCAAAAAATTCAATAATTAATACTTCAAACTGCATTCGGCAAGTATTGCTTAGTGTATAGGCCAAGAGTCAGGAGGTGCAAGTTACAAAGTTACATATCTGGGAGCAGAATCTTGTTAATCCTAAGAGTGTACGATGTTTAATCATCATCATCATTAGTGTAAATCCCATGACTATGCATGGTCATAGAGTCACTGCACAGCTGGGCACCTGATTAGCTCTCTATATTTGTCTTGGTTGTGTGCCAATATCGGGGTTGAAATTTGTAAACCTGGCAGAACTCAGCCCAGTATCAAGTAGCAAATAGATCTGGCAGAACCCAGCCCTCTTCAACTTGAAGACTCACAGACTCACTTTGGTATACGGACATGTGGCTGTTGATTCCATTAGGTGGGGATGGGCCCACAACCCTGGCCCCTCTGCTCAGTGTGCTGTGACCACAGAGCCAGTGTATACTACCCCTGAGTCCCCTGTTTGGAGGAGTGCCCAAGCCTGATTGGGGACCCTGGGCAGTGCTTTGTGGCCATTACTATCTAATCAACATTTGCTTATTTTTACCTATATATATATATATATATATATATATATATATATATATATATATAATTTTTGTGGCTTTTGACCTCATTTTAGGGGTCTTCTTTTTTTTTTCGTCCATATCCATGAATTTGTTTTCCTCATGCTAAGCCTCAAAAAAACATCATATAAAATTCACTTCTTTTTATCTTTAATGTTGAATTTTTTAAAATTATTCAATATTTTAACAAGAAAAATCTCAAGTTGATATTAAAAAGTGCCACAAAACATTGTTGATTTATTTAATATGGAAGGATTCATTATGACATGTCTCTAATTATAGAGTATATGTATTTAGATACATTGTATTTATCGTGGGCACCTTGACGTGGTATAATGGTTAGAAAACTTGTCTTGCTAGATCAATTACAACTGAGTAGTGAGTTTGATCCTCATTGGGTGCCCCATACTTTCGGCCTTGTGCCACATCTAAGCTGGGCTTAGAAAATTACTATATTGTATTTATCTTCAATTTTTGTAGTTGAATTGTTCGCCTATATTGCATATGATCCATTATTGTGTATATTTCAGTTACAATAAAATTTGTATTTTATATAAATACTGCCTCATGAAAATTGAGATTTGGTACAGTGGTAGTGGTGGGGTGAATATCACAGATTCGTGTGTGTGTGTGTGTGTGTGTGTGTGTGTGTGTGTGTGTGGAGCAGACCCTTGCACCAGCCTTGCATGACCACCCTACATATACTGCCAAATTAGAAAGAAAAAAGAAAAAAAAATCCATATGTAATTAATTGGCAGTTGAAGTAAATAATTACTGATAATTTTTGTTAAATTTAAATTTTTAATTTATTTACCTAATCTATGTTAATTCAAAAGATATTTGATGAGTTTTTTTATTTTTTATATATACAGGTCCGTCATTTGTCAGTGCATTCCGTCCAGCTACGAGTTTTAACCCAAGTTCTGCTTTGCGGCCATCTTCAGCAATCCGTCCACTCTCTTGTAGAACACGCCCGCAAACATCTGCCTCAAACAACAAAACTTTTCGACCATTTTCCGCTTTGGCTGGTGTTGAAACTGATGGTAAAAAAAAATATTCTTATTTTGACCTTTGTCATATACTCTTAATACAAACACTGATATTCAAAGACCTTAAAACGATAACTTGGTTATTTATTTTACTTACAATTTTTGCCTCATTACACAAACAATAGTCAGTGCATTATATAAACAAATTAGCCATAAATAATCAAGAGCATCTTTTTATAGCCATCTGTCACTTATATTATTGCTAACCAAAACTTTCTACATAAGTAGCGAAGCAATCATTCTAAGTAACATATTTAAACAAAATATGTCCTGTGTAATTTGTTGCATCTGAAAAAAACTATTTTAAAATGAAAATATTGTCTTAGGTTTCTTTCAAAGTTAAGATTTTCAAAGATTTGTGACAATGTAAATTTTTGTGATTTAGTTCTTTTGTTTGGTTTTGTTTGACTTGTTTTGATAACCATTTTTCTCAGACTCTGTACTGTTGGCAAAAATGAATTCTTTCTTTTAGAGTTCTCTTGTTATATTTAGCGCTGTCTTCACTTTTTCTTTATTGACATAAAGAAAAGAATGCTATGCAGAACTGCTATGTAATATTTTATCTCCTATATGGCAATCAATGTTGGACAATCTCCTCATGCCTTTCAGAAAGTAAGCAAAGTATTAAGAGATAGAAAAATATCATTAGAAACAAAGAAAAAAGTGCTGAACTGCTATGTAATATGATAGGGAATGCCAAACAATTTCCTCACAGAAGCAACAGAGATGTGGTTCTACAAAGATGCTGAAAATACCATGAAGGAAACAGAAGCAATGAAGAAATTTTAAGGAAAATGGGAATAAAAATTATGCTTATAATTAGAATCAGAAAGAGACAATTGAAATTTCTGGGACACATAAGGAGGAAAGAAGGCTTGGAAAATTTGACACTCATAAGACATTAAGAGAGGCAGAGGGAAACAGCAAGTAACCTACCTAATGAGCTCCATATAAGAATGCATACATACATACCCCCCCATATATATATATATATATATATATATATACACACACACACACACACACACACACATACACACATATATATATATATATAAGTTTTGATGAATAAATTATAAATTGCCATCTAAATTATGCAAAAATGAAAATAACTCTGACATCTTATTTTATCAGATATATTTACCAAAATTGGCAAAAATATCTTGAAATACTAAAGAGTAAATTTATTCAATGAAATTGCCATTGGCTTCAACCACAGCTTCCAGATCACTTCAGAATCTCTTGCAACTCTTCTGGACAGTCTACTTGTTTAAGTTGGTGAATGGTGCCATAATCCTTGCCTTCAGTTCATCTTTGGTGTTACAAGGAATTTTGATGGGTGAGAGACCAACATAATAATCAAGGATGTTGCAGCTTGGGAGTTAAGTGGCCAGGTGTAAGGGGTTATGTGCTCACAGAAATTGTCTGACTACCAGACATAGGGTCTTCCAGCAGCCACCCTCTTGACCTAAGGAAGCACTACCACCTCATGGCACTTGATGTAGGCCTCCATGTTGAGTCTGACGCCCTGTGGATGATGAATGCAGGCATAATGTCGCCATCACTAGTGATCATTTCAAGCACCTTCGTAATCACCATTAGACTCATCCCGCTCTTTCTGAATCCTCTGCACTATTCACAGATTGACACTCACTCTGAAATGTTCATATTAGAGCTTTCGGCGCAAAGTACAGCATGCCGTTTCCAAATTTCTGGCAGAGTGAATTGCATCATAGTACTTTTTTTCTCATAGATAGTAACCAACTAACCCTACCATACTGTGCAGATGACAAAATCAAAAACAAACATCTCACATTTGCGAAATTAAAATTATAAATGGCAACAATTTATCCATCGGATCCTGTATATGCATGTTATTGGTCTGCACTCCTCAAGGTGGATAACTCTTCTTGCTATTATATTGTTGTTTGGAAAATAATGTCTGCTTTTTTAATAAACCTTTTGTGTTTTAATATATTATTATAATAGTTGCACAAAAAAATATTACTCATTCCTAATGATTAAAGTGTCCTCTTTTTATATCAATCTCTTTCATAATTTAACTTAAAACATTATATACCCTCCATCTTGAACAAGAAAAAGATGTACTTACCTTTTTTTCACATGAGTTATAGAATAAATGGGTTCCACATGATCTCAGTGAAAGTCAAAGAGTTTGAAATTTTGAAGTGTGTTCAGTGCTGCATCTGCAAAATCCAAATGATCCATTTCTTGATCAAATACTGACTTGTGATGAGAAATGAATTTTTATGACAATCATAAATGATCAGCTCAGTAGTTTGATCTTGATGAAGAATACAAACACTTTCCAAAACCAAAATAACATTTTCTTTTCTCACATTTCTTGCTTGTGGCTCAATGATTTCCAGCCAATTTTAATCTTCAAAAATTTAAATGCAATATCAATTGTTTTCTACTGTTCTAATTACTCTTCTTTTGTTCTCATTCATTAGTAATGTTTCTGTTTTCTAATTCTTCTACACTGAGTAACCACTTGTGTGCCAGTGGTTTTCTGCCTTGTATGAGGTGAACTTGCTTAATATATATATATATATATATATATGCATGCTATTGTTTGGTAATCAAGGTGGTTGCAGTCTGGGGAGTTAGGTGGCCAGATGAAGATGATTCGTGTCATAACATCGCCATCACTAGTAATCACTCCGAACACCTTCGTAATCACTATTAGACTCAATCAGCTCTTTCCAAATCCTCTGCACTGTTCTCAGATTGATTCACAAAAACTCTGAAATGTTCATATTGGAGCTTCCAGTGCAAATTTTTATTATTTGGTCTGTTCTCCTCAAGGGAGATAACTCTTCTTTCTTATTATATTAAAAAAAAAAAAAAACAAGTATGAAAATGAAATCATCACTTTCTTTTTTATTTTTGTTTTTATCTTCTTTATAGACTTCTGCCATTCTCCTGACCCCATCAGTGAACTTACTGATGGTTCTGTGGTTTGTGGAAACCCTTCTCGAGCTCTCCTCTCTCGCAGTAAGCTCAAAACAGCTCCTCCAGAAAGCAAAAAACGGCTTTTCCCTCAGGTAAATACTCCTGTTTCCTTTGGTTTATAATCTGTCAATCCTGTGTTCTATCCTGTGTTGCATCCTATGTTCCAGCCCGGGTTCTATCCTGTGTTGCATCCTATGTTCCAGCCCGGGTTCTATCCTGGGTTCCATCCCAGGTTCCATGTTCTATCCTGCGTTTCATCCCGTGTTCCATTACTGTATCCATCTTTGTTGGTATGGGCAAATTTTGGCAGTTGTACAATACCCAGCCTTCATTAATTGCTTGTCAATCTGTGTAACCTTTTGGGAATTCCAAATGAAACCCTTTATATAATCTACAATGTAGGTTGTTCCTGTTCTGCTGACCATGTTTAGGGATATCTTTTCTTGTTCTTATTTAGAAATATAATCAGATGTTTTTGCTAATACAAGACTTTTTATCAACATTCTATGTTGAGCAGGTCATGTAAAACTAATTGCCTTTATTGAATTAATATTTTGTTTACTATAGCTTTTTGGATGTGTGTTCTCACATCTGGAGGTCATCAGTGTGGATGTAGCATTGTAGATATTCTTGGTGATATTTACCGGAAACATAGGACATAAAATGAAGGAGCAAGAGGGTATATGCAAATATAATATATATATTTTATTTATTTGCTTTAGAGTGGGTCCTTTGGTATTCTGTGTCAAAAAATATTTGTTTATAAGATGAATATTGGTAGGAGGCTTGAGAAAATCCATTAGTGTAGTTTTCAAGTCACACTATGTGATGGGTAGTAGTAATATTTAAAATAGGTCAGTGTCAATCTACTGTGTTTTTCTCAACCCTAAGCAGGACAGAAATATGATTAGCAGATGACCACTTAACTATTTCTTCACATTCAGCATGGCTAGTTTCTTCATTGTAGCATTCTTTTGTTCTGTCCTCTCCTGTCCTCCTCCCACTTCTAGCTCAGAGGTGTCAGCTTATATCCTTTTGACCAGGCTCCAAGATTCTAGCAGGAACTTTGGTTTCGGCTAACAGCAAAAGTCTCTTTCCAATCTTTTGATTGGTCAAAATTATTTTATTTTCTGGCATTCTTTTCTTTTTCATTTTTTTTTATGATGGAAGTTATACGTGAATCCTCCCTGAATTTTGGTATTTTTCAGTCACAAATTAGTAGACTCTGGTCCTATAAACTTTTGGAATTTTTTGGCTGGGTTCAAGTTTTCTTTTAGAAAGAGAGTGAGAGAGAGAGATGATGGTTTTAAAGGAAAGTGCAAATGCCTTATTTTAATTTGAATTCTTTTTATTTTTGTCTCACTACAGCATTTTAAATCTTTTTGTTTTACATATCCATATGAATTTTTAAAAGTCATATGAATATGTAAAATATATATAAGATATGTAAAGCGAAAGTGAAAATAAAAGTCAGGAGGATTAATCTTATGCTTTCCTATACACTGGATCATTCAATTGTATGATATAGTTTTAATTTGGAAGACACTATTTTGCCCATCCTGGTAAAATAGGCAAAAATGCTTTTAAGCTTATTTCACTGGTCTCAGTAAAATAACACCCCCAAGCTATTTTGCAGGTAAATATTTTTATTATTATGAAGACAGGTAATGTTAAAAATGACAACACACAGATTGAACACAGAAGTTTATTTATTTTCACCATTAATTGTTAAGACAATTTAAAATCTTTTCCATCATTAATTGTTAAAACACAAGTTAAAATCATTTATTCATCATCACTTATTAAAAGAAATATAGAAGTCTCTGAATATTTTGAACACTTCAGACATAAGTTTCTGCAAATCCCAAACTTGCTCTTGGGCATGGTTTTCTTATCAATATATTTAAGATACACACACTGAAGACAAGAGTCAGAGACCACTCAATCCATTTTGTTCAAGTCCTGCCTACACAGCTCACACAATCACTGTGCTGACAATCTTAATTATAATAAATTCTTAATTCTAAAACACTATTTATATTTGCTAGCAAAATAACCTTGGTGTCTCTTTTACTGTGATTGGCAAAATAGCCTTATTATCTATTTTACAAGGACCAACAAAATGCCTATTCATTTTTATTTTAACTTATTTAAGCAATAAAACTTTTAACACTGTGTAGGTAATATTGTTTGTTGAGCAAGAAATTGGTCCTCTCACTAACATAGAATGATATCACATTTGAATTTGGCAGTTGTGCTATCATGTTTGGCTATAGTAACAGCTAACTCAGCTCCCCAATTTCTTATTTTCTACATACGTGTTAAACCACATGCGGTACCCTGCCCTCATTTGCCATCAATGAGAGGAGGTAATACAGTTTCAGTGGCTAAGGCAGTACTGCTACCCCTGGCACCACCAGTTGCTTTTGCCACTGAACAGGGTATTGTTTTTTGTGTATTCTTAGCTGCTATCTATTACACCACCCACCTTAGAACTGGGAATATGTCTTTATGATAGAACACAGCGTACAATGACTGTTATATAATAGATGTTCAGTTATCACAGTTATTGACACACCCATGCAAATTATTGAATTGACTTTTACGAATATCTGCTGACCTATTGGACGCATATTTTTTTCCAAAAATGTGCCAGAAAATTACGAGGGGGACATGAAGACCACAAAAAGTGGGATTCACCAGGAATCAGTGCATGCCTAGAGCTTAGCTCTGAAACTAGGATTCCTGGAGGTTAACAAACACAATATCAATAAAAATATCCCTGAAAAATTCACTCAGGAAAAAGAAATTAAAGCCTGTATTTAATTAGGTTTGATGTTCAAAACACATAAGTTAGTTGCTGCCCTCCCGTAATTTAAATCTTATCTTACAGTGTTAATCCACCTAAAGCTGTCTACACAAAGAAAAATGTGTCAGGACCATAATTAGCATGATAATTAGACAGTACTAGATGATTTAAGACCTTTATTGTGCTGAAATATGAGGACCAAACCCATTCGTTTTTGAACAATTATAATTAAAGCATTTATGGGAGGCCTGTATATTTTTCTTAATGATATTCACTGTATTGACAGTTCATATTACCACTTTTTTCCCCTGTTACTTATTGAAATATCATATTTGATTTTACTGCATGCATGAGCATGACACAGAAATTCATTTCTGAATGCTTTGTACCAGTTTTTACAGAATTACTAGTATTTCCTGTGTATGCAGGTACTGGACTTGCAAGATTTCATTAAAATTTACAGATTTGTTTTTTTGCTTCTTGTCTCGTACCAATGTTTACTGATATTTGCTTTGTTTGCATATGTACTGGACGACAGAAATGCTTTCAGATTTATGGAATTGCACAATATTTTGCTGTTTGTTTTGTAGAAATACCAGATTTTACAAGAAATATTTGCTTTGACTGGTATATTGCTGCTTGCTTTATGCATGTTTTTGTTGATATACAGGTATTGAAATTTACTTTTCAGCATGTATGGTATGTGATTTCATTTACCAACGAATACCATATTTCTGTTTTTTTGCCTATTACCATATGTATCACTGTTCACTGATATCAGTAGATTTCTTTGTAACTATTATGGATTTACTGTATATGCAGATTTTGCTCCCTGAAAAATAACTAAAACAATTTTCAGTTAATACATGATGAAATGTACTAAAATTCTTCTCTTTCAAAACATGTCCTGGTAATTAAAACTTCTCTCAAAATATAATTTCTGCTAATACTGTAAATGTTTCTTCATGATTAATGAGAATGTCACATAAAGGTAAGGTTATAATTTTTATTTTTTTTTGTTGTGATGTGTACATATTTTTTTTCCTAAATATTCTATACCAAAATCTAGGTGTGTCTAATAGGCCGGCAAATAAGGCTGTCTTGCAGGAAAAATATTTACCTATTAAGTACATTAAATTTGCAACTTTATAAAAAAGGTACAAAGCTTTTGGATGTCATTAATTTTTTTTCTGCTTTGTGTCTGACTTACCACTTTCATCTTTCTCTCGTACACAGTATAAATTCAAAGCCGAGCACACATACGACACATTGCCAAATGATAATCAAGATCTGAATGACGTTTTAGAACAATTACAAGAATGGAAGATACAACATGAAAAGTAAGTAAAGGATTTCTTGCTATAAATTCATAAGGACAATCAAAATGATTACAAAAACATTTTATTCATGATCAAAGCATCCTTCTTTTAGCTGTTTACAAAACTGCCTAAAAGAGCATAAGACCTTAGCTTGGTTATATGCCTGGGTCACCTAGTGAGGACCAGAGGCACTAGATGAATAAAGTTCTACAATAATAACTAGCTTACTATAATTCCATAACAAAGAACTCTTTTTCAGAGTTTAGCTTAGTTTGGTACAAGGCTGTGAGCCTGGGTCACCTAGTAAGGATCTGAGAGACTACAGGAGTAAAGTTTTGCAATAATAGCTTGCTAATCATTATTGCATAACAAAGAGGGCACCTTGACGTGGTGTAATGGTTAGCAAGCCTATCAATTATGACTGAGTACTGAGTTTGATCCTCACTGGGTGCCCCATACTTTCGGCCTTGTGTCACATCTAAGTTATGCTTAAGCAATCACTATTAATTCATAACAAAGAACTCTTTTTCAGAGCTTAGCTTAGTTTAGCACAAGGCTGTTAGTCAGTGTCACCTTGTAAGGATCAGAGTCATTACAGGTGTAATGTTCTGCAATACTAGCTTACTAACCATTATTCATAACCGAGAAGTCTTTTTCAGTGTTTAGCTTAGTTTGGCACAAGGCTGCGAGTCAGTGTCACCTAGTGAGTATCAAAGGTACTACAGGTATAATGTTTCCAGTGATAGCTAGCTTACCATTATTTCATAACAAGAAACTCTTTTTCAGAGTTTAGTTTAGTTTAGCACAAGGCTGTGATCCTGGGTCACCTAGTGAGAATCAAAATTACGACAGGAGTAATGGCTTCTAAGTCTAGCTTGCTAAAATTTCTCCACAGCAATAATTCAGTAATTGAATCACAATTTAGAATGTTGCCTTGGTATGAGCAGAAACCATTTGACGTGTTCAGCTTTTAGGTAACTAAACATGAAATTTCTCTCTGAATATCTAGGATGAGGAGTTATCATTATTTACATTTGAACTGTTATCCTAAACATTCTTATTATCATGTGTCCGTTGATCTGTGTAACCATCAGGCAATTTTGAATGTAACACTTTATTTAATCTGCTTTAATACACTGTTTCTATACCTCTGGTCACGTCTAGGGCTAGCTCAAATTGTTTTCATACTTTTCAGTTATTGCTCACTCTGTTTTCACTTTGTTTACATCTGTTTTGCCTGGCACTAAACAAGAATGTGCAACAAGCCATTCCCAACTTTTGTGCGCACTGACATGAATGAGAATCGAAGCACAATGTCTGGTGTTTTGTTCAGTCATTATAAAACTAGGAGAGGGACCCACTGTATCTTTATAGTTACATAAGTAAGCTGTCATTGTCATTGGTGGAATTTGTTGCCAAGTATAGGGGTACTCATAGACATTTCCTACTGTGTGAAATAAGTCCTATGTTAAATCTGAAGAGATATCCACAGCCACCATATGGTAGGGTAAGAGGGGTGCAGAGCTTTAGTTTTTCTTTGGGTTCTCTTCATCTCTTCTATTTGTCTTCTGGTCTTTTCGAAGGATATTGTTTTATTTTTGCATGGACAGCTCTTCTCCAATTGGTTCTTTCTGCAGTCTCTGTCTCCCCATTGACCGGATCGATTTCTGTCCTCAGCAAAGTCATTTTTGGCTGATCCTTGAATCAATGACGTGAAGCTCCTCGTGGTCTCTCCTCATGCTAGGTGTGAGCTTTGAGAAGAGTATTTACTTGGGTGGGCAGATATCTGGAATTCAGGCAAGGTGTCCAACCCATCGAAGTTGGTGGCAAGTCAATGATGGTTTCTAGGCTCTCCATCTTTACACAGCAGAGAACTTTGTTGTTCGTGATCTGGTCCTGCCACGTGTTCCACAGGGTTTGACAAAGTTTCATTTGATGGAATCTTTCAAGTTTTTGGATGTCTCTTCAGTAGAGTACCCAGGTCTCACAGCCATACAAGAGAGTCAAGATTACAAAAGCTTGGTGGTTTGTGTTAGCTGAGGATTGCTAAAAGTAAATAAAATAAAGATAAAAATTTAACACATTTCTCTTAAACAAAATGCTCAATGTCTTTTTTTCTTTTCAAAGGCGTCGGAAACAGATTGAAGCATCATGGGCACCCCAGGTGTTGAAAATTGAGCCAGGAGAGTACTTAGAAGAATCTGAGAAAGAAAAAGATGATGATGACTACAATGATGCTGCTTTCATAAGTGAAACAATTGCACCTTCATTGCATGCAAAGCCTTGGAGCTTTGAAAATGAGCCTTTGAAGCAAGAGTTACTTGTTTGTAAGAGCAAGGAACATCCCCATAGCTATGACTACAATGAACCTATGTATTCTGTCTCACCACCAAAGATAGATGTTCATGGGTTGAATCTCAAGCCATGCAGTTTTGCCAAGCCTTCCCCACCATCCAAACCACCACTCTCACCACCTCTTGCATGCCGTTCAAAAAGGCTCAAGTCTCAAGCAGTTAAATCTGATCAAAAGTGAGCAGATAATTTTTTTTCTTTTTAATCTTATTTACTCATGTTTACTTTTCACCTGTTGTCCAGTTCACGCTCCTCCTTATGCGTTCTTTTTGTCTGTCCCTCTTGCCTTCAGTATGTCTATGATTGTCAGATTTTTCAAGTCTTCAGTACTCTTTAATAATTTTTTTCTGTTTCTTAATACTTTGCTTAGCTTTTGGAAGGCATGTTTCACTATCCCAATACGCCTTCGGATTTCAGTGTCACACTATTTGTATTTGTCCTCTGTTAAAACACTTCCCAGATATTTAAACTGTTCTATTTGTTTGATTTTGGTCTCTCCAATTTGTAGTTTGCATGTTGGGTGGGGGGGTTGTCCCTTCTGCTAACAACCATGCATTCTGTCTTCTTGCTTTCCTTCACTATGTTTTGTAGGACTTGTAGTTTTCTTCCCATGCCTGTTCTCAATGCTGTATCATCTGCATTTCTAGGACAATTGCGTCCCAGACAATTGTCTACCAGACAATTGCATCCCTGGACATTTGCCTCCCTAGACAAATGTGTCCCTGGATAATTGTGTACCTCTGATAATTTATTAAAACTTTTAAAGGTAATTACCATAAATTTTGAAAAAAGCATAGGTCGTAATCATAATTTTTTTTAAAAGTAATAAAAGGATTAAAATAAAAAAAATTAAAAATTTATTTTTGTTTAAAATGCAGTGACAGATTAAGTGTTGCAAGATTGCTCTACACCTTGCCAGTATGGTTTTGTTTCATTGGCGTTTTTCTTATGATAATTGTAGCTGTAATTTTCCTCGTCCACAGATATTTTTCCACCAGTATTTGATTTTCAGAACTTAGCCATGAGTTCCAAATAAAAATATAATCTATAAAATCCAGAATCTATTAGATGTTTGTGGTATGCACTGCTGGAGTGAACTGAAACTGCTAGCTTAATTTTCTCTTGCTTTAAAAAATAAATTTTTCTGTCGTTTTTTTTTATTTATGATAACTACCTTTCTGCTTGTTTAGAGCGATTAAAAGTATTGGTGTGCAAATTTCTATATTAAACAATTCTTTTAAAAAATATGTTTTTTCTTTCAAAATTTAGGCCAACTACATTTTTCCTTATTTGGAATAATTAAAAGTTGGTTTGCAATTAGTAACTCTTAACAAAAGAAAGTATGTTAACTTCAAAAAATTATCAGAGGTACGTAATTATCCAGGGACGCATTTGTCTAGGACTGCAATTGTCCAGTACACAAATGTTCAACCATTGTTATCTGCATATCTTATATTAAGATTGTAACTGCCAGTAATGGATCCTGGTAGGATTTCTAATTCTCTCAGAATTGCCTCACTGTATAGGTTAAATAAATTACATCCTTATCTTACACCCCTTTCTATTTTTGTATGTTTACTGAATTTATTTTCTATCTGTATTCCAATGGTTTGCTGTCAATATAGCTTCTGGATTATTCTAATATCCTTCCCAAATATGTCATGGTTACATACTAGTGTACTAATATTGCTAAAAAATGAAGGGAAATTTCAGGAGTGTAAGGAGTATAGTATTTCATAAAATTACTTATCCTCTAAAAAAATTCAGGCATGCAGTGTATGTGTTGCATATATTGACCCTTCACCACTGATATTTACTTATCCCTGGACCAATTAAATTCTGACAGATTCAGATATTAAAAAAAGAGTAATTTTGGCATTAAATAACTTAACTAGGGTTGATATGTTGTAGCGGACTCCCTGGAAGGGGGGGGCGATATGAAACCACAGCCCAAATGCCCCCATATCATAGATGATGATGAGGTCACAAGAAGCCCGCTAACGTTTTTTGAATTAAAGACGTGAAATCTTACAAGGTGAAACAAAATGGACAACAGAACAAGGATATGTATGATTAATGCTAAGTTTATTTATAAAGTAGAGGCCGTGGGGTATGTTGGTCTGGTAATCAAGGTAATTGTGGTCGAATTGGTTGTGTCGAGGGTTGGACCGGTCATGTTAATGGTTGGAGTCAAGGTGCGGATGTTCCGGTCATGTCAATGGTTGGAGTCAAGGTGCGGACATTCCGGTCATGTCAACGGTTGGAATTGAGGTGCAGGCGTTCTGGTCATGTCAATGGTTGGACGTTGAGGTTGATGATGGAATGCTGAGGTGTGCGTTCTGGTTGTGTTGACAGTTGGACGTTGCAGTGCAGGCATTGCTGGTCGGTGTTGAAACCTACCGTAGTAATTACAACTGATAGTATATGGGAAAGGTTGGTCATTGCAGATGATTGCTGGTTGCTACAGGTGATTGATGCTGGTTGTTGCAGATGATCACTGCTGGTCATTGCAGGTGATCGCTGCTGGTTAGCTGATCTGGTTTCAGACTGAATGTGTTGGGCTGGAATGGGGAGATGGCGTTGCAATGCAGTGCTTGGTATTGGTGACAGTATCTGGTCAGTGCCGGGAAGCTGGCATTGTGATGTTGTTGGGCATATTGAATGTCCTGTGCTGGCGTTGCGTGTCTGCTGGTCGAGTCCGATATTGAAACCTCCTGTAGTAATCATAACCATAGTGTACAGGAAAGGTTACGGACAACGTGCAGGCAGTAGGGATGGAATGCTGAGAGTCAATCATGAGCAAGGAGACAGAAGTAAGAAGCCAAAGTAAAGAGAGAAAGAGAGGTAGACCCAACTCGCATCCAGTTGGCAGACAAAAAAAAATGGGAGCATAACTTAATTCGCAGCCTAGGTCGGCGTCCTAGCTACAAAGGCCAGGAGCCTATGTATCGTCTGTTCAGGTGTCTGTGTACCAACCTTGAATTCGGTGAGAAATCGCTGTGTTATGTTAAAGAAGACCAACAATGGACATGGTTTCACAAAAATGCTAAAAAATCTCTCTAAAAGTGAGTTGAGATTTGCTACAAAAAACAAAGTTCTAAAAATGCTAAGAGGTGTATTACAACTAGTTTCGTAACACAAATGGACCTAAAAAGTAATTAGCCCACTTCTAAAAGGAAATGAGAGTAAATTACGCAGCGTGTAGGGAACACGATCAATCAGGTCAATGTCAAAGAGCCCTGTCCTCTTCTGTTTTATGGAGCAGCCAAAGGCAGCCATGACAATGTCATCAAATCAATAGACCCAAACCAACCCAACACAATAAAAAGGATTGTAAGTTGTAATGAATATAACTGTTTTATGGACTCAAATATAATTTTAAAATATAATAGATTTCAACATTGAATAACTGAACAAGTGTTGATCCAGTGGCAGACTGGTCCACGGGAATACCAGGAAAATTGATGGTAGAAATTAGAAATTTCCTAAAAAGTAAAAACTAACCAAAAAAAAAAAAAAAAAAAGAAGTAAAATATTGCACAGATGCTGGGAAGATTTAAATAAGGTTTCTTTAATGCAATAAGTACTTTTGGTAGATAATAGATATCCTCAGTTCCTTGTTTGATGAAACCTTTTTTTCCATTTTTAAGGATATTTATAAATTTTGTTTTGGTTAGTTTTGGTTGATCAGTTAGTTTTGAATAGTTTAAACTTCAGTTCTGCATGAAATGGCTTCTTTTGATTGTACCTTTTAACAAGTTTTCCTGATAAAAATTGTCAACCTAATTCACTACTGTGTTAATCTCTTTATAGAATCCACCAACCCAGCCTCAGTGGCCATGGAATTTACAATAAACCTGAGTATTATCATAAATGTAACAAAAATAGGATTTAAAAAAAAAAGACAGTAAAAAATGTTATAAATGTTTTTTTTTTCTTTTCTTGTTTACTTTTTCAATAAGATCATACAAGTTTCTTATAAAACAGCATTTTGGATTCAATCACAAGCCTTAATCCTAAATCTTAAACCTAAAACAATTTTTTTTTAATTAAATTATGTAAAAATTATATGTGCTTCCTTTTTAAACAATATGCAAATTTTTGACTGAAAAATTTGCATGTAAGAATATTAAAGATTATTAGGTGTATTGAAAATGTTTTTGCGTTTTATTTTTATATTTCTCTGTATTAAGTTTGATTTAAATACAGCAAGTATTTATTTCATTTCTACAAGTTTGGTTGAAGGCACAAACTAGACAAAAAATTAGTAAAAACCATTGATACATTGATACATATTATAAAAAACAAATTAAACTCATCACTTAGTACAAAAACTAAAAAAAAACATGATAACCACTAATGATACAAAAACAAATCAAAACTTCAACAAACTGTTTATGAATTGTCCATTTGAAGAAAGCTTCTCTAGTAATAATTCAAATAACACACACATTGGTTACATTATAGTAGCATGATGCTTAGGGTTTAAAATGAACAATTGATTAACTTAACCTATAAATAGTGTAAATAATTAATAATACCTCATCTCAGAAATATAAAGAAAAAATCTTTAAACCAAACTTGCATAAAATGATAAATGCTGCCCATGTACAACCAATTAAATTATCTATTTTTCTTTTTATTTATTTATTTTTTATTTTATGTCTTTTTATTTAATTCAATTACATTTTTTTTTTTTTTTTTTTGGTACAGTGTCCTTCATTTGGCTATGACTGCAAAACCACCAGTCATCAAAGAGCAGATATCATCATATGGCAGGAAGCCTTTGCCAAACTCTAAAGCATTTCCTCATTCTTATTCAGCCAGGGCATCAATAACCCATGCCCCACCTTTATTGCCCTCATTACTAAACTTGAAAAGCAAATCAAGTTGCCAAAAATCAACTTAAAGAAAAAGATGGATAAACTTTTTTTTTTTTTTTTTTAAGGACAATGTGTAAATATTAACTTTTATGGTATATTGTGATCTAATATTTTTTTCTCAATTTGATAAAAAAAGAAAAATACTTAAGCTATTCAGAGATCATGAACAAATATCAAGCTACTAAAAAATTTTATATATATATATATATATATTGAGTACAACTGAAAAGAATTTATCTAAGCTCAACATAAAATTTGGTACAACTACTTTTAAAACAATGAAAGACTTAATTAATACAAAACAAAACAATAAGCTAAAATTTGAAGGTAGAAATTACTCTATCCCCTATAATGATTGCCACAAAAATATACAGGCGAAACATCAAGGAATTTAAATAAAAGATTATATCAATACAAATACACTCAATACATTAGCTATTCACCATAATGAAACTGGGCACAATTTTAATTTAAAAACGTGTTAATCTAATTAAGATAGAAAGCATGAAAGATGAAAATGTTTAGAAAGTGATCATTCATAGTAAATTTACATCCAGGTTCTTATAACATGATCTTTATTGGTAGATCTTCTATTATCACAATGGGGGATATTTAATAGCAAAGATGATGGAAACCTGAACCAAAAGAAAAAGAAACTAAATGAAATTAGATGATATAGCCAAAACACATATTTTAAAAAGAATGAATTAAAAATTCTCAGCCTCCCATTTCCTTCATGTGAATGTCTAGGTGCATTAACATACACATCACTTTAGTCCAATGAAGTCCTAAAGGATGAAACAATATACCTTTTTCCTTAATATATATAAATATATCAAATCCTCAGCTCTCCGATTCCTCAATCTGAACTGCTATCCACTACCCCACCATGCCTAAAATTATTATTTAGTAGTTTGTTATTATTTGGTTTGGTGGTAGCTTAGAGTATTAATTATGGGAGGTTAGGTTTATAGGTATATTTCTTTGTTTTTGTGAAAAAAAAAAAAAAAAAAAAAATATATATATATATATATAAAGAAAAAAAAGGAAAGCTGTATATAGTTTTAGCCATTTTTTGTTTTTTCTTTTATACATAGTCTTTTTCTACAGATTAATTCTGCAAAATTTTACACACATATATATATATATATATATATATATATATATATAAATAAATATAAATATAGATGATATATATATATATATATATATATAAATATAAATATAGATGATATATATATATAGATATATATATATATATATATATATATACTTACATCTACAAATTCACACACATATATGCACATATATATGTATATATATTTAGTGTATTGGGGCAGCAGATCATTATTCAAACATATATTGTTAAATTTAACAGACAACGTATGTCTATTATGTTTGATCATGATCCGTTCTAAGCTTCATAGAGTGGCTTTAGTTTTGGGAGAAAATAAAGACAAAAACTGTTCAACATTTGGATATTTTTTTATTATGCTGTTCCTCGATCTAAGATTTCAGTTCACATGAGACATCATCAGAGTGGTTATATAGACATTACAACAGAGATGTTTACTATCAAAGGTGACATCCTGTTATAATTATATAGACGATAGCAATTGCAGAATAGCAGACATAGGTTGTAAATTTGTAATGCCGTTCTATGACATCATACATGAGAGAAAGAAATGTTATCAAAAGAAACCATGTCTGTAAATGCATTGTAATATTCTGTGGCTAGTTTGAAATGTAATTTAGTTGAGTGTAGGTTGCTTTGTTTAATGTAGCTGGCCTTCAATAGCTTAAGGTTGTTTTTACTGTGTGTATATGTGAGTATTATTGTGTTATCAACACAATAATATGTACATAGCTATGTTTTTCTAAAAAATGTTGTTTAATGGAACTAAGATCAGAAAAATGACAGGAGAGCATGGTCATAATAAAACCAATATATATATATAGCAGGTTTATTATTAGTATCAGAGATAAAATCTCTGAACAGGTATGTAAATTGTTACACTACATTTGTTTTTTTGTAGAGGATTTAGTTGTGTGGCTGTAGGGTTATTAGAGACTATGAGGTCAAGTGTTTTAAAATTTTTATAATATATGATGAGCTTAACTTGTTTATTATTATTAATGGGCTTAACATTTCTACCTATTATGTTTTTTGAGTGTTGTTTCATTGCGATTGTAATAATACAAGTAATACAATAATATAAGTTAATAGTATTATGTTTATTTTGATGTACACTATTATGGTTACAATTATTATTAATATTAACAATTTTGTTAGTAGTATTATTAAGTTTATTGAGATACAAAGTTAAATTGCTAATCAATGATGAAATTTAGGGAATTCATTATTAAAGAGTGTTTGATATTATGTAATACTTTATAGAATATGGTTTTGGAAGAAGATATAATTTGTGTGCATTAGATTAAGTTTTTTATAATAGCTAACTTATATCATTGGGGGCATTCACTATTATAATGAAGAAGACATGAGTTAATGCTAGTGGGTTTCCTATATAGAGAAGTAGTAAATTTATGTGTGCTGGTATCAGTAAGTACATGAAGGAATGGAATTTTATTAATATTGAGTTCTAGTGTAAATTTGAGGACGAAGTGACTTTCAAATTTGTTTTTAAATTGTGTAATTTGATCAATATTTTTAGTTAAAATGAAAATTTTCTCCCGAAACTAAAGCCACTATACAATGCTTAGAACAGCTCATGATCAAACATAATTGACATTTGTTGTTTGTTATATTCTCAAACATATATTGTTAAATATATATATATATATATATATATATATGCATGCATACAGGTACAATGAGAACAAGTGCACTTCCAACATTCATAACATTTAATTTAAAAGAAGGCTTGATACATATTAGAGCAATATTAAACCAAATTAATTGTTCACTTGCCAGCAATTTACAATTGCCTGAGGAGATGCATTGAAACCCAACTGCAATTGTGTAATGATTCTTACATGTTTTTGTTGTAATATCTTAAAATGAATAAATAAATATATATATATATATATACACACACATACTTACATCTACACTCACATATATGTACTTATATATACACACACATATATATATATTTTAATGCTTAAATGATGAAGTAAATATTTGTTTACTTATTTCGTTTTTCTTATTTAGTTGTTAATAGTTTGTTTTTCTCTGGCTTTGTGTTATCTTAAGTCTGTAGTCTTGGGTATGATGATAAACTATATTCAGCAGCAAGACCTCTGATCAGGAGATTGGCGGTATTAAAGAGCATGGAACCACCTGTTAATTGCTGTTGTTTCCAGTACCACACTGACCCAGAGTGGTAGCACCTGTTAGGATCCCAGTTATGGGCAAATAGTGAACCCCCCCCCCCAAAAAAAAACACTATAAAAGTATAAAAATACATTTTTGTAGTAAAACTACCATCAAAACATATTTATAGTAAAATAACCAGCAATACCTATTTATAGTAGAATTACCAATAATTCATTTCGTTTATAGTTGAAGGCATGCAATTGCATTCAAAATATTTAGATTTTGGCATTAAATAATCCATAAAAGTTGAAATGCCGCTTAACAAAATCAACTAAACAACCAATATGAAAGAAGTCTTTCAAGACATTAATCCATATGATATCCAAATATTTTCTAAAGAAATCAAACTATATTCCAAAATATAACTTCAACATAAAACACACATATCACCACCTCTAATAATTATATCCACACAAACATGTATATGCACAAAAACTGCCATGTATTCAGTTGTGAAAGCAGAATAACGTGTATCATTTTTATTACTTCAAAGCTCCCCAACAAAATAATTTCAGCATTAAATGACCCATAAGAAGTTGATATGACATTAAATAAATAAAAAAAAAAACAAACAAAATCTTAAGTGTTAGGGTCTATAATTATGAAGGAAGAGTGCTCAATATTAGAGATAGAGAATTTGTACATCTTGACAATTATGGACATTAACACAGCATGATGACTGCCAGTTTCATTCTTCAATCAGTCTTCTGACTATATATATCCAGATGGATGTGTAGTTAGTGTAACAGTAACTTGGAAATAAAAAGCGGCAAGATGTGTTTGAATTTGTAGCAAAAGACAAAAAGTTATCTCCCCTTGACCAAACAAAAAATAACAGTAAAAATTAATTATAAATATTCATGAGAATAGAAAAGAGTCACATGACCTGATGAGACCCGCACAAGATATCATTAAGTGGGAAAGTCACTCTTTCTTTTTTGCTCTTGGAAGTTAAGGTATCAAGACATGCATTTCAGGCTCATAACAAATTAAACAGATAAATACAAAATTCATATTGCTTTAGGTACAATATTTTTTGAAAGTATGTACATGCTTTGTATTAAGAATTTCAAATATAAAATATATATATGCAAGTGTTTGCATACAAGGACTTTTGTGTTTTATTTGAACTTTTCATATATTTATGTTGTTGTGTGTTCCATTCACTTTAAATGAGGTCAATGCTTTATATCCTGCACAACATATTTTTTGTTTGGTCAAAGGGAGATAACTTTTTGTCTCTCACTACAAATTCTAGCCAAGATTGTTATATTCACATTTGCACAAATACCCTTAAAAAATATATGGATCCATCTCTTCTCCCAGTAGCAGGTAAAGTAGGTTTTATAGCTTTGGTTAATAACCAGTCTATGAGAAGGACAAATCTGAATTTAAAACCAGAGGAGGGCTGTTTGGAGATGTTGTGGCACCATTTCTTCAATCAGTCCTTCCAAATTGTCTGGCTGGTTCTGTGCAAACCTTTACCACTAGAATCAAAGCCTTTGCTTTGGTTATCTGACAGATGGATTCTAAATTGAACTGCCTGACTCACCTGCATCAAAATTGATTAAGGGAATACAAATGAAAAGATTTGAAATTAAAAAATTTTTCCATTTCACTGAAACAGACATTAAACGCTTCTAGCTTTCCTTCTTTCTTTCATTTTCTCACTGAGACCAAGTAGTG